TCTACTTTTTAGTCCACAAGAAAAACGTGGTTTTTTTAAAAGTTTTTTTTTAAGTATTTTATTTTCTCCTTTTTAGTCCGTTGCTACACATGAAAAACGTGGTTTTTTAAAAGTTTTTATATAGTTTATTTTCTACTTTATCTAATGACTTGATTAAGTATGACTTGACTAAGTGTTTTTAAATACATAAAGCTTTAGAGGATTTTTTAGGTATCCATCAGAATTGGGTGGACTCAGGGACGGTCTACTGACTTAAACCCGGATTCTAACTCGAGACTAACGGGTTAGCAGTCCAACTCTCTAGCGCTAGACCACTCCGCCACTGATAAAACCTCTTAGTTTTGTTTTGATAAATCTGGATTGATAATTTATTTTTGCTTTTGAAATCATGTCCTCAATTTTAGGGTCCTTGGGGCGTAATTTAATTAAGCTAATTTAGGTCTCTCATTGCTAGTTTTTATGATTGCATCTGAAATTGTTAGGCGAAAATAGCCTGCATGCCGAATTTCAGATGTCTAGAGCAATCAGAAGTGGGCTAATTTTCGTTGTCAATTTTAACAACAAACCCACAAACAAACAAACGCGAAGCTGAGTTAAGAAAAACGTGTTAATTAGGCTGAAATCGAAGTCAAAGGTCTATAGCAAGTTGACATGCAATACTTAACATTGTTAGAGGAAATCCCATCCAACAATACATTTAAGAAAGAAGAAGAAGAAGAAAAAAATAATAGAATTTACTTTTTGTCTTTCCTATTATGTGCCGTCTAGGTATTGGTAAGCTGGTGATTTATAACGGAGTGGATCTAAAATGTGTCCTTGAATGTGTTTCAAATTTGTAAAGCTACTACTAGATAAAGATGAGCCATGTTGATGACTCAACTCACCCAGATATATCAGATTCTTCAAGGACATCCATGTAAAATTCTCGGCGTGTGTTGATATGTGATCAGGTATTTTATATTATCTCTGACTCATTTCAGCTTCCTTCTTCCCAAACTCTTTAAAAAAATGCTGAAAGAGTTACCGGTCTTTCTATAAATACGTCAAAACGAGTTATCGGTCTTTTCTTGAATGGGTTATCGTTACTACGTTTGAAAGAATTGTCTCCCTTTTGCTGTTAGTTATCGTTCCTACCCCAGCGTTAGACCTGCGATGCTACAACAGGTAAGTGATAAAACAGGTGCATGCGAACAGAACAGAAATGTTGAATCAATATAAACATTGAAACAGGGTTTAAATCCTTGCTGGATAAACTCTATGGGTTACATCGTGATAGTATTAAAACTCGGCATGTAAAAAAGTAAATACTAATAAAACGGGTTGTGTTAAATTTAAATCCCAAACGATGACTAGGAGAACACGACTTATACAATACATTTTGAAACAATTACCTTTAACAACCTCAGCTGGTTGTTGCTGTTTTAAAATATACATTTTTGATATAACGTTGTATAGGGTTTTTAAAATCATTTTTTTTTTAAAATGCAAGTTCTGTTGCAAAGAATGTTCGGATAGAATAGAACACACATATATCTTAGCGATAACTTCTTAACTTTTTCAAAAGTTGATGTAAAAAAGCAAATTTTAAATTATTTTTTTTACATCACAAAGTTTTTGTGGTAACAATTTGTGGGGGTGGAGAAGGGTGTGGCGTGGTTCTTCATAACGTTTTGATACTATGGAGGGGGGTTGTTAATGGAAATAACGGAACATGGGGTAGAGATGGTAAAAAATTATTAAATTATCTCAATTTGGTAACAGGATCATTATGTGCAAGGTTCCTTACACAACTCGAGATTAGCATAAAAAAATCAAAATCAAATCAGTTTTATAATATGCCGTTATATTTTGACACAATATTGTTAAATCGCTACTGTCTTGCCCTCCCCCAATCTATCACCGCGCATGACGGTGGTCTGACGTCACTGTGCCAGGTAGGCCAAGGTCGCGGCTAATCTGTTCGATGATGGGGTAAGATGTGAATAATAGCAAAACTTGACGTAATACTACTCTGTTCGATGATGGGGTAAGATGTGAATAATAGCAAAACTTGACGTAATACTACTCTGTTCGATGATGGGGTAAGATGTGAATAATAGCAAAACTTGACGTAATACTACTCTGTTCGATGATGGGGTAAGATGTGAATAATAGCAAAACTTGACGTAACAAACCACGTGACCCCAAAACGGCTCACCCACAAGCCTTGGCGAATTCCTGGTAGGCTGACATCATACGCTCAGATAGCTTGTTCATAATTTATGACTTTACGCATGCGCAATTCTGGGTTATTTATAACTAATTTTTAAAAAGTTTATGTGCGTGTTTACGATAGTGCAAAACAGGGCTGAAACGTGACATAAACATTTTGCGTTAAAAATTGTTATTAGAGCTACTGCTAGAAGCATGTCACAAACAAAAGTTACATTAAGTTAGCAGATACAACCAGAACGTAGTTACATTACTAAAACATTTACCAAAAAGAAATATTAGACCTACATATAAATGGCAAATTTGGTACCAGTATAGCTTACATGTACTATTACATGGAAAATGTATAGAAATAAGTTTGTGTTTGAAGTAAAGATTTTTTTTTTCATTAGAAAATGTAAACAATACAATACGAAAAATGACCTCAACTGTAGAACAAATTTATCGAGTATACAGCTGTAACACTTTCCATGCATCTAAAAAACATGTATGGCTATAGTTTGAACCAGTCTCATGTTACTAACCATTATGGTTTGTCCATTACACAGATTTGAAAAATGTGCTAAAATTTTGAGGAAAAAAAATAAACTAGTTGTAACTCTAAAAAGGCAAACGTCTTGGACAAGTTTAGAGTTGATGCTCTTCAATTTTTTATAAATCAAGATGTAGAAAAAAATAAATCTAACTCAAAACGCTAAAAGGAATTTAAATGTTAATAATGTTTTGTTTTTAGACACATAATAAACATTTCATTAATGTAAAGTGCAATGCCATTTTTAATCAATGTTGCTTCTATGTAAACGTTGGTGTTGTGTTTAGTGGAAGCTCAAGCAGTTTAGAACAGTTTACGGTCTGGGGGATTTATGGTTAAAATGGTGTGGCCCGGTATTGGCTAGACGGAGAAACTTACCTGTTCAAATGCAACTGTAGATTTGTACGGCAAAAGCGCAATATTATAGACTAGGTAGGACCGCTCAACAGCAAATACAGTGTCCTTGTGTAGGACATTTGATCATTTAAAACACCAGGAAGATTTGTGTAATACAACAATTTATATACCAGAAAGATGTGTGTAGGACCCATAATCATTTACATACCAGGAAGGTTTGGGTAGGACCCATAATCATTTACATACCAGGAAGGTTTTGGTAGGACCCTTAATCATTACATACCAGGAAGATTTTAGTAGGACCCTTAATCATTTACATACCAGGAAGATTTGGGTAGGACCCTTAATCATTTACATACCAAGAAGATTTGTGTAGGACCCTTAATCATTTACATACCAGGAAGATTTGGGTAGGACCCTTAATCATTTACATACCAGGAAGATTTGGATAGGACCTATAATCATTTACATACCAGGAAGATTTGGGTAGGACCCATAATCATTTACATACTAGGAAGATTTGGGTAGGACCCTTAATCATTTACATACCAGGAAGATTTGGGTAGGACCCTTAATCATTTACATACCAGGAAGATTTGGGTAGGACCTATAATCATTTACATACCAGGAAGATTTGGGTAGGACCCATAATCATTTACATACTAGGAAGATTTGGGTAGGACCCTTAATCATTTACATACCAGGAAGATTTGGGTAGGACCCTTAATCATTTACATACCAGGAAGATTTGGGTAGGATCTATAATCATTTACATACCAGGAAGATTTCGGTAGGACTCTTAATCATTTACATACCAGGACGATTTGGGTAGGACCCATAATCATTTACATACCAGGAAGATTTGGGTAGGACCCTTAATCTTTTACATACCAGGAAGTTTGGGTAGGACCCTTAACCATTTACATACCAGGAAGATTTGGGTAGGACCCTTAATCATTTACATACCATTAAGATTTGGGTAGGACCCTTAATCATTTACATACCAGGAAGATTTGGGTAGGACCCTTAATCATTTACATACCAGTAAGATTTGGGTATGACCCTTAATCATTGACATACCATGAAGATTTGGGTAGGACCCTTAATCATTTACATACCAGGAAGATTTGGGTAGGACCCTTAATCATTTTCATACCAGGAAGATTGTGGTAGGACCCTTAATCATTTACATACAAGGAAGATTTGGGTAGGACCCTTAATCATTTACATACAAGGAAGATTTGGGTAGGACCCTTAATCATTTACATACAAGGAAGATTTGGGTAGGACCCTTAATCATTTACATACAAGGAAGATTTGGGTAGGACCCTTAATCATTTACAAACCAGGAAGATTTGGGTAGGACCCTTAATCATTTACATACAAGGAAGATTTGGGTAGGACCCTTAATCATTTACATACAAGGAAGATTTGGGTAGGACCATTAATCATTTATATACCAGGAAGATTTGGGTAGGACGCTTAATCATTTACATACCATGAAGATTTGGGTAGGACCCTTAATCATTTACATACCAGGAAGATTTGTGTAGGACCCTTAATCATTTACATACCAGGAAGATTTGGGTAGGACGCTTAATCATTTACATACCAGGAAGATTTGGGTAGGACGCTTAATCATTTACATAACAGGAAGATTTTGGTAGGGCTCATTTACATACCAGGAAGATTTGTGGTGGACATCTGACCATTGATATACCAGTAAGATTTGTCGTGGACATCTGACCATTTATATACCAGGAAGATTTGGGTAGGAATCTGTCCATTTATATACCGGTAAGATTTGTGGTTGACATGTGACCATTTAATACCAGGAAATTTTGGGTAGGACATCAGGCAATTTACAGAGGAGGAATATTTGTTTCTAACTGTAACCTACCTGACCGTATGCAGTCGGCTAAAGTTCCACCGAGCTTGGTCTTGTTGTCTTTGATCTTGTCGAAGACGGCCTGGGTCAGGTGCTTGTGGAGCAGGGAGCGGCAGTCGGTGGCTGCCGTCAGGGCCTTGAACAAGGCCTGGGCCTCGTTCACGGCCGCCGGCTTCTCGGGAGCCGGAGCCGCAGCTTCCACAGCCGGAGCCGAGGTGGAGTTTTCTGTCGGGGTCTCCTCCACCTGGTTTTCTGTTGTTTCTTCGTTGGCTGGTGCCGCAGGGGTTTCAGTGTCAGCCATGGCGGTCAGTTGTGATGGTCAGTTGTGATGGTCAGTTGTGTTGGTCAGTTGTGACGGGCAGTTGTGTTGGTCAGTTGTGTTGGTCAGCTGCTTCTGTCTGTAAAGTAGGAAGTGTGAGAAATCTTTTAGTAGAGGTAACAACATTGGTGACATAGTACCGTTTTAGTACTTTATACACGAATATATATATATATATATATATATATATATATATATATATATATATATATATATATATATATATATATATATATATATATAATCGTTGCATCTATCCTATCTATGCTCTTACTCCCCCCCCCCCCCAACCCGTTCGACAGATCAGTGAAAATGTTCAGTTGAACGAGGCAATGAACAGCGTTCTAATGTATTTGGATAAGTTCATTGCCTCCGATATCTCTCTGTCTAACCTTAGTTGGAAGGCTGACTAAGACCACGCGTACATTGTCATCTGTTGCTTCGTCTTAAACATCTCTCAAACAATAACTGTACGGCCAAAATAGCCGACATATTCCAAGTTATACTTGTGTTATGATTTTTAATAACATTGATATGTTTTTAAAACGCATATTGGTAATATTACTTTCATTCAACAATCAAGATTTCGCAGTAGACAGTTCGTTAAATTTTTTATATATTATTTCTTCACAAAAAGACACTTCACCATAAAACATAGAAGCTTTGAATAACCAAGAGGCGTAGCGAGGGGGGGGGGGGGGGGGCGGGGGTGCGGACCGCACCGGGTGACACCATTTAGGTGGGTGGCACCAAGGCAAAAAATAGCAAAATATATAGAGAAAAATTTGAGGGAGGGGGTGCAAATCGAAAGTTTGAAGGGAGGGGGGTGCAAATCGAAAGTTTGAAGGGAGGGTGGGGGGGTGCAAATCGAAAGTTTGAGGGGGGGGGGGACGACCAAATCGATAGTTTGGGGGGGGGGTGCAAATCGAAAATTGAAAGTTTGTCGCTACGCCTCTGGGGGGGGGGGGGGGGTGACACCATTAAGTGCCGCACCGGGTTACACCCGATCTCGCTACGCCACTGGAATAACCTAATGTACGCAATAATTATTTAAGTTACTGAAAGTTGTTTTAAGTTTCAAGGTAAAGAATATTACTCTCGGGAATTCCCGATTTTTAAAACCTAATCGTTTTGTTCTGTTACTACAAGACCTCCACATCACACGCTAATGTTTATTTTCTGAGCGTCTTTCCGTAGCAACGGAGAAAAGGCTGTACTTTGAAGAAGGCACGTTCAGGTACATTTTAAAAAAAAATCACGTGCTGGAATTTGATTGGAGGAACATGAAAGACACGTGGCACATGACACTGTTACGTGTTTACGGGATTCACTACGGGCTGACGTCATAAGGTTGTATGGGAAAAGGGGGGAAGGGGGTGTTAAATGAGGAGGAGGGGGCCTGCATGGGGTTCGTATTTACTGCTGTAGTAGACCCGATGTAATCTATTGAGGTGTGTTCCAAGTTATGCCAGCCAATGTTTACGCCGGCGCTACTACGAACAATCATCAAAACGGAGTCTTAGAATGTTTAGCATTCCACCTATGCAGCGTACTTTAATTCATCGCGTGTTGTAGCATCTGCCTCTAAGGCCGATTACTCTTCAAATTGGTCTGCTTATACTTACATTATTAATGATTCGTTGTTCTTAGAACTGCCTAACCGATGCAGTGTCAATCTTTACCGAAAAGACAACACCCTAGTTAATTCTTTTTCCAAACAAAAGATAATACTCTAATTGATGCCCTCTTATCCAAAAGATAACACCCTAATTGATGCCCTCTTATCCAAAAGATAACACCCTAATTTGATGCCCTCTTATCTAAAACATAACACCCTAATTGATGCCCTCTCATTCAAAAGAAAACACCCTAATTGATGCCCTCTTATCGAAAAGATAACACCCTAATTGATGCCCTCTTATCGAAAAGATAACACCCTATTTGATGCCCTCTTATCGAAAAGATAACACCTTAATTGATGCCCTCTTATCGAAAAGATAACACCTTAATTGATGCCCTCTTATCGAAAAGATAACACCCTAATTGATGCCCTCTTATCTAAAAGATAACACCCTAATTGATTCCATCTCTTCCAAAAGATAACACCCTAATTGATTCCATCTCTTCCAAAAGATAACACCCTAATTGATTCCATCTCTTCCAAAAGATAACACCCTAATTGATTCCATCTCTTCCAAAAGATAACACCCTAATTGATTCCATCTCTTCCAAAAGATAACACCCTAATTGATTCCATCTCTTCCAAAAGATAACACCCTAATTGAAGCTCTATACCTGGACCCTATTGATCCCCTTGATTCTACCTTTTAACCATCACCCCCCCCCCCCCATGATATAAACAATAGCATTCAAATAAACATCCCCCGGCCCCTGACGGCCCCTGATGGCCCCTGATGGTAAATATTATGGTATGGACAAGATGTTTACAATCCCAAGACTCTCTAGGCCACTGCATGTACCGACAGCGTTGAATTATCGGTTATGATTTTATCGAACACTGGTATAGAAACAAGTTTTTTTTAAATATTTTTTGTTATGTTATAGTTATAGAAACAAGTTATTTTTATAAATTGTGTTACGTACTTCACCAGCGGTGTTGAACTCCGTAAAATTATCTTTCTCCAACCCTTCTACAACATTGGACGTTTCCAAAAATAGGGGTGACGGCTTGTTATAAATAATGTAAGATGTTAGTATAGTTTTATTGTAAAAAGGTTAAGGTTACGGCTTGGTTATGAATGATTAGTTAGCAGCTTACTTTTATCGACCTGGGTACATCATGTTTAAATCAGTGGTTTTTAACCTTTTTGTAGCGCCAAACTCCCCCCCCCCACTCCCCCAGTTTCATATGCATTCACCGAACCCTTCTTAATCATTCACACTGACAAAATCCGATCGTGAATCATATGAGTCGGGTGTGTGTCTTGACCTCCGCCGATTTAGATGTTCATAGTCGAACAATCAGGGGAAATGTACGCACATTCAGATACAATTAAAGTGAATATTTAATAGCATAAATTACACTATAACAAAATGTTATCGAATAATAACTTTTGATGGCAGATATTGGCGTGGCGAGACAGTCTCTTATCTGCGCCGGTCATGCGTGACCAAGTCACTGATAGTTGTGGATACACCCCCTGATGAGAGGCTAGTTGTGGATACACCCCTGATGAGAGGCTAGTTGTGGATACACCCCTGATGAGAGGCTAGTTGAGGATACACCCCCTGATGAGAGGCTAATTGTGGATACACCCCGTAATGACGGGCTGGTTGTGGATACACCCCTGATGAGAGGTTAGATGTGGATACACCCCTGATGAGAGGTTAGATGTGGGTACACCACTGATGAAAAGCTAGTTGTGGATACACCCCTGATGAGAGGCTAGTTGTGGATTCACCCCTGATGAGAAGCTAGTTGTGGATACACCCCTGATGAGAGGCTAGTTGTGGATTCACCCCTGATGAGAAGCTAGTTGTGGATACACCCCTGATGAGAGGCTAGTTGTGGATTCACCCCTGATGAGAAGCTAGTTGTGGATACACCCCTTATGGGAGGCTAGTAGTGGATACACCCCCCCCCCCAGATGAGAGGCTAGTATTGACGGCGTGAGTGACCAAGTTAACAGCGTGCCAGACATGCGGGATGCTAACTTTCTGTGTCGTCGTGAGAAAGATTGAATGTGAGTTGGTGAAAATGTTAAAGATGTTTGGCGGTGATCCCAGACATGATTGTTTCTAATTATAATTAGTTGCCTGATTGCAGTGGGTAATGATATAATTCGTGTAAGAAATGAGGTGATAAACGATAAACGATAAAATTTAATACATTTTTTTTCGATTGGTGTTGTTTTGGAAGATCCCACATTGGAATAAACTCCAAATTCCTGAATGAATAGAATAAAGGGAGATTACTCTCAAAATGCTAATCCTTTCTTTTTTTACTTTCTCGTATATACGAAGTATAGAGAAAGTCTTGTAATCGTGCAAAAAAAAAAAATCGAGATTTTTACAAATCTCGACGTTTCACACCTCACTGATACGGAAAAACATAATTTTGCAATCTTGTCCGTATGTCTGTGTGTCTGTCTGTGTGTCTGTGTGTCTGTGTGTCTGTCTGTCCGTGTGTAAACACGATAACTTGAGAACCGTTACAGCTAGGTTGATGAAATTTCATATATAAGTATTTTATCAAAATCGTAGATCCGTATCAACTTTTGAGCGATTTCCGATAACCGGAAGTGGTACTTTTCCTACTTTGAATTTTTCAAAAGCCTATAACTTGAGTACTATTTCAGATAGATAAATGAAATTTCATATGTAAGTAAAAGATCTAATTCTCTACCTTCTATCAAATTTTGAGTCATTTCCGTTGACTGGAAGTAGTACTTTACGCTACTTCCGATTTCTCGAAAAACTAATGTAAATTTTAAAAGTACTAATAATATTGCGCACCATTATGCGCTTTTTTATTTGGCGTTCACTTGGTGTGCAATTAATTTGTCTACGAGATTTTATTCTATTTTTAAAACTTTAAGTATTTAAAATGGATTAAAAATCATGTCTATAGCCCGAGTTCCCATCCCCTGTTATTTTATATAAGAATATTCGAGAAAGTTTAGGGGAGATAACTCCCGGTTTATTTTTACAAAGGACATTGCAATGATGAAACTCGTTATAAGGAAAAGGGGGAAAGTGTGGGAACAGGAGGGGTGGGATAGGGAGGGTTTGTCTTGATAGAGACCATGGGTCTCGTGACAGTCACGTGACATTAAAATATAAACGAGCATTGTTTGCAGTCCATAACTGCTGTCAGACAATGAAACTAACTGACACTTTGATAAAACGTGTTTCCTTATTGTCGTGTTTCTGTTTTCATTTCAAATTTTAACTTCATTTAAAAAAAACAAATCAACAAATAAAAAATAATCGATATCCGATTATTTTTAAACCAAAAGTTGCTAAAGTTAAAAGAAATTTAAAATAAAATACTAATAATAAATAATAATAATATAAGAAGCTCACATAGCCTACATTGTTTTGGTCAAGTCGAA